TAGAGCGTCTCTCAGTGGTGGTCAGAGCGAGCCGAGTTTTAGTATCACCTAGAAGTTACGTCGAATTCCCCAGGGGCACTGAGTTTCGTGTTCTTGTTTCCAGTTCATGCCTTCAAACGGATCATAGCATCTCCCCATTCATTAACTCTCCCTCTCTCTCCCTCCTCCTTTACGACCCACGGGCCCACTGAATTAAAATGTTACATACATTGCAAGGAAAGAAATTCAGTTCATGAATTCGTGACCAGATCATGTCAAATGTTAGCATTTGAGCTGCGTTATCCTAAATGATCCCCTCTACTATTTTCGGTCCCATGAACATGCAGTTTTTCACCATTCCGACATTTCTGGACCCACCAGTTAATTGTTTTGCCCCCAGTTCTGTACGAATTTCAATAATTTGCTCGTTAAACTTGTGGAGAGCTATATCTACTCGGGACAAGCAATAAAGATGAACAATAAGTTGATTCTCGAGCTGTGCAGTAAAAAAGGACAGAATAAATAGCCTTCGCCAAATTAAGAGACGTCTTTGCAACACTAATGCAATTTCATTATGCGTTTTTACTCACGCACAAATGCAAAAACACATATTTTGACAACCCTAGTGTGCGTATATATGTATATATGTATGTGTGCGTCTGTCCGGATATTTCAACTCAGCACCCAAACAAGCTTCGGCGTCAAAAATTCGGCAAGTGCCACCCCAAGACCGCGCTACCAACCCTCATGTACTTCTAGGCCACGCGTACGAGCGAATGAAAGTTTTGGTGGGAAAATCGCTAACTCGGGAACCAGAAAAGTCAGAAAGCTAAAACTCTGAGGTCATATCCCCCGTCCACGTAGAACTCAAAGATTTCAAATTCAGCCCCCAGGTGTGCGTGGTCCCCGCGTATGGCCTCATGAGGGTTTCTGGCGCGAAAATCGCTAACTTGAGAAATAGGAAGGCTGGGAGGCTGAAATCTTCAAGGAATGTTCCTAGCACGTGTACAACTTAAATTTATCAAATTCAACCCCTCTGTATGCGTGGTTGTCACGTACGGCCTCGTGAAATTTTTAGTAGGAAAATGGCTAAGTCGGGGACCAAGAAGGCTGTGAGGATGAAGTTTTCAAGGAGTGTTCCCAGCACATGTACAACATAAATTTATGAAATCCAGCGCCCAGGCATGCGTGGTTCTCATGTATGGCCCCTTGAAATTCTTTTGACGGGAAAATGGCTAACTCGGGACCCAGGAAAGCTGGGGGCTGAAATTTTAAGGTGTGTTCCCCCCTTCTCCCCTCCCCCATAAAAGCTAAAGATATCAAATTTAGCTTCCAGATACGTGTAACTCTCATGTACGGACTCATGAAATTTTTTGACAAGAAGATTGCTAACTCAAGAACCAGAGAAGTTTGGAAGCTGAAATTTTAAAGGAATGTTCCCTGTCAAGTACCGCGTAGGCAGTTAACTTCCCGGACTTCGAGAACCAGTATGTCACAAATCCAAGCTACTACGTTTCCGGGCGATCTCAGTACAACACGAAATACTGCAAAAACGCATGATTGCACGGGCCCGCCCGGTGCGGATTGCCAATGATTTCCGA